CTCATCGGTGTATCGGATTAAGCGAGATTAGACCATTTTCCTAAGACACTCTTCGATTTTTTTCTTGTGGAATCTTGAATCCTTCTTTGAACTAGGTAGAATAGTTTCGTGAAACTAAAATTCTTTCTCTCTATTTTGTTTATCAAGGGCTCCATTCCTCTTCACTTGGCTGCCGAGAATGGCCACTCTGAGGTTGTCAGTATTCTCTTAAGTAAGTCAACACTACAGCTTCACGTTAAGGATAAACTTGGCCGAACAGCCATGCATCTGGCTGCCGCCAATGGACATCGGGAACTGATCTCTCAGCTTATTGGACAAGGAGCCGATATCAACGCGCCGGATGAGGTATACCTTAAAAAACAGACTTTCTACTCTTGAAATTACAATATCGAGTGAAGACGATGTGGTAACTTTCATATGAATGGTAATGTATTAAGAATTCATCCCTAGCTGATTGTAAACGTTTTCTAGAAAAATACGCGATGCGTTCAAGAAAAGACAAACTCGTCAACTGGAATGCGTCTAAATTAATATAACTCTAGACTGTCGAGCCCAATAAACAAAAAGATTTTCATAAGCCTGGAGGGAGAATTACAAATTAGATTTTTTAGATGTTTTTCTCGAAAATATCGCTTCCCAACGTTTTTGTCCAATCTACACCTTAAATCAACTGAAATGCTATCTAAAAGTAGACTGACCTGTTCACTTAAGAGATAATGATGTGGGAGACTCGAATCCTGTCCATTAAAAGCTCTGTATTGTTGCATATCAGAGGCCTTCCCATATAAGCTCCTTTGTGAGCAATCTTTGGAGTCATCATCCCTTTCGATATATATTAGTAATGGCACTATTGCTGAGAATTTGCACCGCAACTTAGTAAATTTTTTATCTTTCTTTTAGAATGGTTACGCGCCAATGCATATGGCAGCTGAGGCTGGCCACGTTGAAGTTGTCAAACTTCTGGTGGAGTCTGGAGCGTCACCAAGAGTGGAATCTCAGGTAAGTGAAAATCTCTTTTCAAATGATCACGATAGATCTCGTTTCCGTGTCGGTCGGCTCGGTTCATTGCTAATACGATAAAAAGCGCGCACGTAAGCGAGAGAGAAAATATTTCCACTACTGCAGCTTAACATGCAGAGCAACGTTAACCATAAATTTTTCGAAATGTAAGACTATAGTAGATCAACCATATGGATCTTGAGTCGATCAATTTATTGAATTAATTTAAAGTAAGTTATTCGGATAGCCAAGGTTTGTCTCTGTATTGCAAGGGCACAGTCGTTGTGGTTAGATCACATGTAATTACTTATCCATCATCAAACAAACAAAAAAACTGAAATATGTCTTATACTATGAAACCAAACAAACTTGTAATAGGTTTGCCTTTTCGAATCAAGAAAGCTTCCAACTTTTTCTTGAAATATTTTCCTTGAAATATTTTCCTTTGCCTCATAATTATCAATAACGAACGAATCACAACTAGAAAGCAACTTTGTCTGTCATTTACCCAACCTCAACAGATTGACAATTTTTCATAGTTTGCTCTTTGTCAATATTACCATAAGCCATTCCGTGAAATTTGTTCCCAATTAGCGGACGAACTTTGTACGTGATAAATTGACTCTTCTACTGGTTCCCCAACACTTAACGTGCATTATGCAATTTTGCGCATCTCCTGCGTCTTGTCAGCTTGAAAAAGCTCTTACGAGCGTTCTATCAGGCTGATAAACACGTTCACCAAGGAATAACTATGCTTTACAGCAGGGCTAAAATTTACCAACTCATGGACACCGTTTTTTGGCACCTAACTGGCATCATGATGAAGAGGGTTTTTTTTTTTTACTCTTTGCTTGCACAACCAACATCTTATTCTTGATTCAGAGTTGATGATAACGATGTGTTTTCCTATAATCTCATATTAGACACCAAATGAACCGTTCAGTGAAAGTTTTGACCAAAGGTAATTATTCAATGGCTAAACACGCACTTGAAATACACTTTCCCCTTCTAATGGTGATTCGAGAATCTGTCAGGGAAACCTTTTAGCAGCGCCCGTTCATGTACTGAAACTAAAAGTTTATGACCAACCGCCCGATGTGAACTTAAACGATACTATCTCTCACTCATTATTTTCCTTTTTTCATAAGACAAGGGGAAAGAATATATTTGTCGTAGGCAAATATCAACGGTTTGAAATTTGATATTTTGATTTAATAACAAATGTTATGCGAGTTTTTCGACATAAATTCTATCTTTGCCTTTTAACAGCGCAACTGCACGTCAGAAGTAGAAATTCAATTATGTTTTCAACTTCATTCAACTTTGACGTGCTCCAATGATTAAACAATAGCAATCAGATGCTAAGTAAGAGATCTTGAAAACTGCTAAGGTTACTACTCTCACAAAATAATTTTCTTTTTCGACTGTGGTTTTAAATGTACTTTTTAGTTGTCCGCGGCAATCTAATTGAGAGTTTTTCAGAGGATAGTTTGCTCAAATTTTCCCTAAAGTCGAACTTTTAGTTTGACGTTACTTAGGCAAATTTTGACGTAAGGGTGATATTTAACACGTTCGGTCACGCAGTCACGTACGTATCACTGTGATATAATCAGGTTATAGACCAGCAGAACACTATTTTGCGCTGCCTCTAAACTTGCACTAGCCCATCACATATCCTACAGAGAAAACTACTGGATTCAACGTCATGAAACAGCCCTTGTGTGACGCATTGTTTCTATATCATGCCGGCACAACCGCCGAAGACGATGACAGTTTGGGACCGTTTTATATCGTTCATTGTGTCTTTATTCCCATCCTTTCAATGACAGCGCTTATCTTCAACAGTATTACCATTCAAGCGATCAGAAAGACGCCCGCTTTTTCACAGAATCTGAGAACGTTGCTACTTAGTCTTGCGATCTCTGACCTTGGGGTTGGTTTATTGGTGCAACCTTTCTATTTTTGGCTGCTTTTCAAGAAGTCACAACACAGCAGCGCTGGCAATTCGTCTGTCGCTACATGCACCGCGTTTGTGTATCTGGCAAGCGTTTTTTCCACGGGGTCGTTTTTGGGTGTGACCACACTGAGTATTGATAGGTTCTTGGCTGTCTATCTCCACCTTCGATACCAAGAATTTGTGACTAACAATCGTGTTGTTTCTGTAGCGATTTCCAACTGGGTGTTGAGTGCTATTGTCTCCACGATAGTTGCCGTGCGGATTCCTCAGAGGATTCCCTACATGATTCTTGGCGCTCTAGGAATATTTTGTCTTCTCTTTATAGCTTTTCTGTATTTCAAGATCTACTTATGTGTGCGACACCATCAGAAACAAATACGTTGTCTACAAGTACAACAGGAGGCTGCAAATGTTGCAAACGTCAAAAAATCAGCGACTGGCTCTTTTTACGTATACCTTGTGTTTTCTCTTTGCTATTTGCCTCAGTTCTCCAGTTTTGTTATTATTGCAGTGATGGGATTCAACACAGCTGTAAAGACATTCTCGATCTCTGCCATAACATTCGTATTTCTCAATTCGTCCTTGAACCCTTTCGTGTACTGCTGGAAGATGAGGCACATTCGGCATGCTATAATGAACACACTAGAGAATCTTTGCCAACATAATTGTCATATCCAGTCTAGGGGGGAAAATGTGTAAAGAAGGAAACGCGGATAATGAACTATTGTGTCAAAAATTCAGTCATGAAGTATCTTTCTTTAAATATAAAGAAAGTGTGAAGGTCCAGGACGAATAGAACTAGTCCGCAATGTTATCCACAATTTACCTAAATAGTTACAAATCAAAGGGATAAAGGGGGCAGGTTTCTAAAGAAATCTCGGTGCTGCGTCGATGGGAGAGCATAGCATAATGATTTGGTTTTATCAGGTGAGTTGATACTGTAAAATTGGCCGCCGTAAAGAGTTTCTAAAGCTGACGTTTTGAGCGATGGGCACGACCAACTTGCCCCTCTTCATATCTAGGATTCAAATTGATTAACGAATCACCTGCCTGCATTCACTCTAATTTTTCACCTGTTTCATTTTGGCAAACTGTTCATCAGCATTAGTACTTTATGAAAGCAAATATACGGTAGTCAACGCAGTTTTTTATTTGCCTAGGATAGAATTACATTGCAAGAGAGCATTTCGCGAGGAGAATTTGGTTCATTTCGGCGAACCAAGGTAAACCAACGTAAACATTTTCTTTTAAGGCAACTTACAACTTTTTCCGACACATGATCGAAATGAAAATTATCACATATGAAGATGGTTTCCAAACTGCAGTATTGATTTTTCTAAAGATTACAAAAGGGTGAATAATTACTTGCTAATCTAGGTTCGATGATGAAATCGGGGGTCGCCGAAGTATTTTTGACCATTTTGAAGAAAACTGAGCAATAAGAAAAATATACGAGTGTTTTTAAGTGATTTCAGTGTTGCTGAGGTGACTTATTGTAAAGTAATGATTTGGAGTGTGTTTCAGTCCCTTTGTGGAACACCAAATGTAAAATTATGGCTGTAGTGCAAGAAAACTTTTAGGGTACCTAATGAACTTTGTACCGCTTCAGTTTCGGATAACACGACATCCACTGCCGCACTTAATGTTGCGTGCGGTTCTCAACTAAGAGGCATTTCACTGATTATCGTAAACTTCTTAGAGATATTGGTCAAGTCGAAGTTTGACCTTGCAAACAGGAGGTACAAAAAATGCTGTATTTTACGTAGCTTATACGGGAATATATACTTGATAAGTAATGGTTATAAGACTGAATGGAGTCCAATTCGGTCTGTAATCATACGAGTGATAACTAAATCGTGCGGTCGTCCGATTTGTTTATCACAGACCGGATTGGACGACACGAACACAATTGGCTTATTGAACTGTCTAATGACAAACTGTCCGAAGCAACTTGGCAAGTGAATAAGTTGAAAAAAAGGAGTTTTTTAAACCAATCACAATCGAGGAAATTGCAATTTTTTATGATTAGTAGTGAAATGTGGGTTTGAGTCGTAATAATGTTGGCAAAATATGTCGCTCAAAATGTTTAGAAAGATTGAAAGCTTGTAATTCAGAGAATATTGTTTGCATTATTAGCGGAACTGGGATATTAAGAATCGTTTGATAAAAAAGGCAAGCTTTACTTAACGTTCTCCAATTGAGCGTTTGTCATAAACCAATCAGAGACCAGGTGTTTTGTATAGTTTATAATAAAAATGATTAAATGCTCATTGAAGCACGTTAACGAGGTCAATCTGTAAATTTGAAATCAATTTTTTTTTAGATTCTAAGTGCATATAAATGGAGAAGAAAGTGCTAATACTATAGTATTCCTGCAAACACCTATAGGGCAACTTGTGGAAGTACTGTTATGAGATTATACAGTTTTGCAGTTTTCGGAAATCACCCTCTGTGCAACGGATACTCAGAAAATTAACGAATGATAATTTAGTGAACGAACACCTGATAAAATCATCCAAGATAGGACATGAAAAATCCACTCTGTAACGAGGTTTTGTTAATACAGCCCTTAACAGCTGAGGTTGACGGCTTGTATTCATGGTTTATCGCTAACTGTGTTTTAAACATTTTTCTGTCCGTTACCGCTATCATCTTCAACGTGGTGACAATACAAGCGTTGAGAAGAACTTTATCGTTGCCAGAAACTCTAAAAACACTTCTCATGAGCCTGGCTATCTCTGATCTTGGTGTTGGCTTTCTTGTTCAGCCATTACTTGTCGTGTTGCTGTTCAACTGGTTTCGAATGAGTGTTGAAAACAGTTCGACTTGTGCGGTATATACCGCATACACGCTTTTCGGAACTTTGCATTCGTCGGCCTCGTTTTTCGGTGTTATAGCCCTGAGTGCTGACAGATTTTTGGCCATTCACCTTCATCTCAGATATAAGGAACTTCTGACTCCTAGGCGTGTTGTTTTCACTGTGGTTGTATTGTGGATATTTTGTGCAATTCTTTCTCTAGGGAGATTATTTATCCGTTCGAGTATTGCGGGAGCAGTTCTCGCCAGCGTGGGTGTCATATGTCTCCTGGTCTCAGCCATACTTTATTGCAAGATTTACTTAGCCGTGCAACGTCATAGAAAACAAATTCAGACTCTACAGATACAACCAAAAACAGCGAAAGCCGAAATGACCGCAAATGTTGTAAGTGGCAGAAAGGCAGCAATCGGTACATTCCACGTCTATCTGGTGTTTTTGATCTGCTACTTGCCATTGCTTTGTATCTTTGCTGCCACGCCAAATTCTGGCCGAACAAACGCCACTTTGCAGGAAAAAAAGTTTGCGATGTGTTCATGGACCTTGGTATTTCTAAATTCATCCCTGAACCCTTTTATTTACTGCTGGAAGATGAGACACATTCGACGCGCCATTATAGACACACTGCGAAGTGTCATACCCAGTTACAGCTGAAGCAAACTTGTGATGCAAGCAAACTTGTGATGCACAGGCACAAGACTGTGTGGGAATAACATGAAAAGATCATTTTGGAAATGGTTAGAAGTAACGTTAATTGATCGCTTAGCTACACAGAAAGATTATCTCAGTACTTAAGTCAATCAGTCCCTCAAGATTTCATCGTAGTATTACTGTTAATCTAGCGGAGAAAAAGTATCTCTCAATTTTCCAAAAACATTGAAGAAATTTGTAATTCCTTTTACTGTGTTCAAAATTGATGCAAATATTTTAACATTTGTTTTTAAAAAAACTGATGGAAGCAGGTCAAGAAATTTCATGTTTTGCATTACGCCCTAAGCATAATCTGCATACACCTGTTTTGTTTTGTTTTTCACCTTAATATACCGATAGCTAGGGTGCATGAAAAACACACAGTTATTTGTGCATAGTTAATAATCTCATTGATGCTATAGATGAATTAAAAAAGTGACAGCGTCGTTAAGTGAAAAGTATAATTAATAACAGCGAAAATTTTTAGTTCATCTACCTGGAGACTTTTTATTACTCCTGTCTCGTTTTTGGCAGATTATTTGATAAAGCAGGATAGTGCAACATAATTTGTTTTTGTCATTTTCTCTTCTGAAACAACCTCATCGTTATTAGGAGTGAAACAAAAACCTCTCTTTGTTTTTTTTTGGTAGTTTTTATCCAACATAGTCACAAAAGTGAATTTCTGAAGAATCTTCGAAAGCTATTTTCGAGACTGATGTTTTCAAATTACAATGAAGTCAATCGCGATTTCAAGCTGAGATCCATTTAAATTAAAAGAGCAGACCTCTGGAAAATGAAACGGAAGTTAAGCGCAAGCAATTATCTTGTAAGTAATTTTGCAGCGCGTCAAATTCATTGATGATCTCATAGAATTGTAGATTGAAATAAAAATTTCTACAGATTTGTTTACTAAGAAACTGAAACCCATGTTGAAAAATGAAAAGCTAGCAGGGAAAGAGTAGTATTACAAAAATTTTCATGCCTTCGAAAATAATGTAAGATCATGAAGAATCCACTTTGTGACGAGCTCATGCTTCTTCAGCCAACGAGAATCGATGCACAAGACTTGTATTCATGTTACATTGCCAACTGTACTTTAAACGCTTTACTTATCATCACAGCCATCATATTTAATAGCGTCCTAATCCAAGCACTAAGAAGGACTTCTTCTTTGTCAAAACCTCTGAGGACGTTTCTTTTCAGCCTGGCTGTCTCGGACCTCGGGGTTGGTTTAGTGGCACAACCTTTATATCTTCTTTTGCTCGTCAGATGGCTACAGAAGAACACTGAATACCATCCGAGTTGTGCCTTGTATACCGCGTATGCGCTTATAGGCATTTTATTTTCTGTGTCTTCATTTTTCGGCCTCATGGCTCTGAGTGCAGACAGATTTCTGGCCATTCATCTTCATCTCAGGTACAGGAAGTGTGTAACTCGCAAGCGTGTTGTCTTTGGAGTGGTAGCCTTGTGGGTTTTGAGTATAATTCTCTCGCTGTTCATGCTGTGGGTGTCGCCGAATGTTGCCACCGTAGTTCACACCACTGTCTGCATTGCTTGTCTGTCGGTCTCAACAGTGTTTTATTCCAAAATTTACCTAACTGTACGATGCCACAAAAATCAAATCCAAGTTCTACAGGTACAAAAACAAGAACAGGATGTAGAAGCAACGGCCACAGATCTAATTAGTCGCAGAAAGTCAGCGATAGGCACATTCTACGTTTATCTGATGTTTTTTATTTGCTACGTGCCTCTAGCATGTAACTTTGCAGTCACGCTCGCATTTGACTCAAGCAGCGCCATAAAAATATCTACAATTTCTTCATGGACTCTGGTATTCTTCAATTCGTCTTTGAACCCCGTTATTTACTGCTGGAAGATGAGGCACCTTAGACATGCAATTATTAACATGCTCCGAAATTTTATTCCAAACCACGGAAGACGGGAGATGCGCATCCCAGTAAGACAGCGCGTATGCATAACGGAGTGACTTTTTCCAGCAATGTTAAAAGTCAGCGATATTTGTTGACACACTTCATTGTGAAAGAAAAAGAGGGATTGCACATATTTAAGTTTAAGTTAAAATATTATTTAAACCATATTTTTTCGTGTAACATTTTCGTCGCTTTACCTGGGAATATCTCCCAAATTAACCGGGTCGATGGATATCGACGAACCTGCGTGTCATAGGAAAATAATTGTGTAATTTTTGATCAGGGCGTTTTTCCAATCCACTAAGAACAGAAACGAGATCGAACACTTTAAAAAATTACGTAAAGTTACTTACTAGAGTGAGTAGAGCTGAGAAAGAGCCTTTTAAAAATTACAGTAAACTATGGCAGCTTGTTTAATGATCCTACTCGAAAATTACAAATTAGTCATAATCTCGTTCGATACATCTCGCTGCTCGCACGCACGCATTCAGTAGGACCGCCACGGCTGCCTGTTCGATTAACAGTAGTAAAAAATGTATGCTGTTTTATTAACTCCACTGTAAGTATAAGTAAGTCAGTTGACAGTAGGAACATCAATCATCCAATATAGTCAGCAGCGAAGGAAGTAACTGATACATTACTTGACAAATAATACTATAGGGTTGTTGAGTAATATCAACTGAGTTGATGACGTAAATTGGCCACGTTCGCGTTCGCCCTTGCGATGACGAAGGACTAACGCTCGAAACATCAGCTTTGAAACTCTTTACGGTGACCAATTTACGTTATCAACTCAGTTAACAATACTAAATTGCTCTGTTTTACTCTTCCACCAACGAAGCACCACAGTTTCTTTGGAAACTTGCCCCCTTCAGATACTATTTTACTCTGATTTAGATTTAAAGCTAAATTTTGCAGGTGTTAAACATTATCTAGTGGGCAAAGATATGAGCTTGAAAATTTTTTTCTGTCGATGCACAAACTTTTGGTTCTTATCTGTAAGGTACTGCTGCTGTACACAACACTCGAGAGGTGAAGCTCTCAGTGTCTGTCAATAAAAATATATAATGGAATTTCGTGGGTAAACTAGCTTGTTTGATTAAAACGAAGGATGAGTGTTTCCAAAGATGGCCGAACCCACTACTTTCAATATGTTCTACGAATGCGTTATCCCTGAGCTCTAAAAGGCTTGTTGTAAGTTGGCCATTAAAATGAAAAAAAAGGAAGCCGGAAATTGATAGCTGTACAGCTTGTGCGCTTCATCAACTGACATCCACCCCTTACGGCAAACAGATGTCTCCTCTGGGGTTTGATTGGCTCGATATGAATATTCAGCTATAAAACATTGTATGCAAAATCTGAACACTACTCTGTGCACTTACTTTTTGTATCACCTCAGGCTAAATTTTCAATTATGACTAATTGAGCCCGAATTTTTGTTGTTAACACTTCCTTCCATCTGAGAACTTAAGAGTATTTAACACCATAGAACATCTGCTATTGTCGGTTAAGAATCATTTTGGGATTATCATGAAGAGTAAACTCTGCCATGAGCTCTTGGGGCTGCAACCGGCAAGATCTGAGGTTCAGGATTTATATTCATGGTACGTTGCCTATTGTGTTATAGGCGCTTTACTGTCCGTTACCGCCATCATGTTTAACAGCGTCACAATACATGCGTTAAGAAGAACTTCATCGTTATCAAAACCTCTAAAAACACTTCTTATGAGTTTAGCCATTTCGGACCTTGGAGTTGGTTTACTGGTTCATCCTCTATGCATCGTGTTGCTAATCACATTTTTACAGCCGGACCCTAAGGGCGGCCCGTCTTGTTCCGTATACACCGCGTTTTCGCTCTCTGGGATTTTATTTTCTTCGGCTTCGTTTTTCGGTGTCATGGCCCTAAGTGCAGACCGATTTCTAGCCATTCAGGTTCACCTCAGGTACAATGAGCTTGTGACTCACAAGTACGTAGTTTCTTTAGTGATCTCCGTATGGTTTCTGTGTGCAACGTTTTTTCCATTGAAAGTATTAGCATCGTCGACGATTTCTGGCGCAGTTCTTGCTTTTATTGGCATCGTTTGCCTCATACTGTCGGGGATCTTCTACTGCAAGATATATTTAACCGTGATCGGCCACCAAAATCAAATAAAAGTCCAACAACCAGTAAATGGCGAGATGGTCACAAATTTTGCTAGAGGCAAAAAATCAGCGGTCTGCACATTTTATGTCTATCTCGTGTTTCTGATCTGTTACTTGCCGTTACTTTGCATTTTTGCCGTGTCACCAGATTCTGGTCGATTAAACGCCACTTTCAAGATATCTGCGGTATCTTCATGGACTCTGGTATTTCTAAACTCGTCAATAAACCCTCTAATTTACTGCTGGAAGATAAAGCACGTTCGACGGGCTGTGATAAGCATTCTGCGAAATTTATCTCCAACTCACATCTGAGGAGATCGATTTGAAAACGATATGCAAAAAGACACCAGATTAGGGATAGGGGAATACTCCAGACCAAGAAAACCACCATTTTCCAGCCTAGCCCTTAGACGTTGCATTAGCGCCGAAGTCAAGAATTGTTAAAACTCATCAGAAATTTATCTCGATTGACGAATGTGTTGGTTACTGCTCTTTCTTTTTTATTGTTTGGAGTGTAAAAGACAGGTACGTGTATACGCGACCGTAGTTTCCTTGAAAACCATAGCGAATTTAAGACCTTATTAGTGTTAAGGATTAATTATACAGTTGTCAGTAGTATTGTAAAAGAGTGATTAGACAAATGCAATTAGCTTTTAAACTCGGAAGTTAGTAAGAAAGTCGTATTCTTGTCATAAACATCACTCGGGTCGCGCATGCGCACATTTGATCAAACACGTTCGATAGAATCTTCGCGCACCTCACTCTCAAATTTCTGCGCGACTCGCTGATATCAATTTTTCTTTCGACAATCTTTTTTTTTTTTTAACTCGTGCGACGGACTTCGCCGAAAAGCAGGGTGCGTAGTCTAATAAAATTGAAACTGGCATTAGAGAGTGACTTATCAACTCCATTTTGACTCAGTTACAGCTGGAATATCAAACATCCAATCATAAATGACCAATAAGGAAATTGCGTAGAAATGACTCGAAGGTTTTTTTTTAGACGCTAGGTTAAATTGTCAGGTGATTTTTAAGACTGTCATCACTTTTTTAAGCCCATTAAGTTTTTAGTAATTAGACTGATAATGACGCCTTCATATCTCGTGGCTTTTGTAAAGCAGTAATACCTTACGCACAAAATCCAACACGTTATGCATTGTCAGAAAAAGAAAAATTGGACGATCTTACTCCAGCATTTTAACTTTGACTTTTAAACTCGAAAGTTAGTAAGAAAGTCGTATTCTTATCATAAACATCACTCAGGTCGTGTATGCGCATATTTAATCAAACATGTTCGATAGAATCTTCGTGCACCTCACTTTCAAAGTTCCGCGCGACTGGCTGATATCAATCTTTCTTTCAACGATGTTATTTTTTTCAATTCGCGCGACAGACTTCGCCGAAAAGCAGGACGCGTAGTCTAACAAAATTGAAATTCGCATCAGAGACTGACTTATCAACTCCATTTTGACTCACTTACAGCTGGAATATCAAACTTACGGGGAGATGACTCTACAGTTATATTTTTAGACGCTCATCACTTTTTTGAGCCCATTAAATATTTATTAGTTAGACCGATAGAGACAGCTTCATCTCTTCTGGTTTTTTTCTGTAAAGCAGCAATGCCACGTTGTGCATTGGCAAACAAAAGGACAAATTAGACGATTTTACTTCAGCATTCAAGTTCTTGAGGCACAATTGAATGTTTGTATTTCTGACAAGACGGAAAAAGGTTTGTTCTTTCCGAGACAGTTTTTGCCGGACACAGCGTACGACAGCGGAAACTTAATTTAATCGCCTGGAGAAGCGTGAACTAAGTGCTTTCTAATTTAAAATTTTAGCTCGTCATTTTCGCAGGTTCTCAATGCAGTCTCTATTAAACAACCGCTATATTTATCGCTGAGCTCTTGTTTGGAGTGCAATCTCTTTATTTTTTTTTATTTTCACTGGACTAATGGAAAATTAGTCATCCAATTAGATGTAAAAGTTAAAGGAAATAATTGTAGAACATATGCAAAAACATATTAGTCTTTCGGAAACTTGATCCTTTCAGATTGTTTGCTCAAATATTATGAAATTAAGTGGAAGATGACGTCTTGGTTAGCGGTGAAGACATAACCCGAAAAAAATGAAATTTCTATTACTGTATTACCAAGCACTGACCGACTTATCTTATATCCTTAAGCTTAGGATCATGCTTCTGTGAAAATAACTCTGAGGCAGATTTACAGATGGAGATCGTATGCTCTACACAAATTTTTATCTGGAAACAGATGTCTTTTTTCCAGGATTTTATTGGCTACATATTGAAGGATGGATACAGATTAATTTTCCACTATGAGTCTGTTTACAGTTGGAAAATAATTGATCGCATTTTGAATAAGATGTCAATGGAAATTAAGATGTTCCCGTTGCAGGCGTTTAGTATTTTTATGGCAATCGTCGTGGGCGTAAGAATTGTTTTCGACGTAAACGGTACACAATTTTTTTATCATTAATGATTTATTAGTTGTGAGGCCAAGAGGAACGAGCCACTAACAGTGGTTCATAATTGTCAAAGCGTTTTATAACATATGGTTTTATTCCTCTGTTTGGTCTCGATGACTCCATATTTGGATCAAATTAGAACACAATTCTGTTTTCTTGCATTTTTGACCGCCATAGGCTATGTAATAGCTCTTTCAGAATTGTGCGGGAATTCTTTTTAATCTCTTCCTGTTTGCCGGTAAGTTTGGGATATCAAAGTTCAAGAACATCTACCATTGTTGATCTGGCCGAGAACATCATGAAAACTCCACTTTGCGACGAGCAGTTACGATTTCAGCCCGCAAGTATTGAAGACGAATCGTTAAATTCGTGGCACATTGCAAATTGTGTCTTAAACGCTTTGTTATCGATCACTGCCGTCATATTTAACAGCGTCACAATCCAAGCACTAAGAAGGCATTCTTCGCTGTCAAACACTCTGAAAACGCTTCTTTTAAGTGCGGCTGTCTCTGATCTTGGAGTTGGTCTATTGGTTCATCCCTTACACGTCTTGTTGTTAGTCAAATGGTTGCAGTTGAACTCTGTAGGCGGCCCGACTTGTTCAACGTACGCTGCATTTATTGTCTCAGGGATCTTATTTTCTTCAGCCTCGTTTTTCGGTGTCATGGCTTTGAGTGCAGACAGATTTCTTGTCATTCATCTTCATCTCAGATACTCTGAGCTCGTGACCCACAGGCGTGTTGTTTTTGCAGTGGTATCCAGCTGGGTCATCTGTGTAGTTCTTTCCATAATCAGATTCTGTGTCACTTCAATTACCGCCATAGGAATTATAACTGTTGTTGGTATTGCCTGTCTTGTCGCCTCGGCAGTGTTTTATTGCAAGATCTATTTAGCTGTGCGACGCCACAAAAAACAAATTCAAACTCTACAAGTACAACGACAAGAAAATGCCGAAATGGTCGCAAATCTTGCAAGAGGTAAAAAATCAGCGGTTGGTACATTCTACGTATTTCTCGTGTTTTTGATGTGCTACTTGCCGATGTTTTGTATTTTTGCCGCTAGACCAATTTCTTCCGGATCAAAGGGAACCTTTGGAATAGTTTTTTCCTTTACGTGGACTTTGGTATTGCTTAACTCAACATTGAATCCAGTTATTTACTTCTGGAAGATGAGGCAAATTCGACGTGCTATTATGAACATACTACGGAATACATTTCCAATTCGTAGGAGAAGCACTCCATTCTATCCCAACGTGCAAACAACGGTTACATCAGCTGCTTTTCAGACCGTCAGGGCTATCAGTAAAGCAGAGTATGAGAGACAACACACTGTCACACATTAAAATGCAGGTTTAATACCAACATTGTATCATCACTTTACCTTGAGGGAAGATGTCCATAAATAACAAGGGGCTTACTGTTTCTTGTTAGTCGTTTTGA